CCACAAGGTGGGAGAAAATATTTGAAAATCACATGATAAGGGTATAGTATTCAGAATAAAGAATCTTTATAACTCAAAAGCAAAGAATTTTTAAAATGCACAAAGGACTTGAATAGTCAGTACTTTAAAGAAGATTCAAAAGTAGCCAACACACATGAAAAGATACCTGATGTCAGCAGTCACTAGGGAAATACAAATCACTACATGAGATACTTTGTATAGACTAGGGCTCCCATTATTGAATTATGTTCCATTCTCCAAAATATATGCTGAAGTCCTAACTGCCAGTATTTGTGAATGTGAATAGTCTTTGCAGATTTAATTCAGTTAAGATGAGGTCATTAAGGTGGGCCTTGATCCAATATGACCAGTGTCCTATTAAGTAGAGAGAAATTTGAACACACCCACAAAGGGAAAATGTGTAAAGATGGAGGCAAATTATAGTTATGTCCCCATAAACCAAGAAATGAGAAGCTAAAAGAGGCAAGAAAGGACCCTCTCCTAGAAGCTCCAGTAGGAGCACAACCCCATAAACTCCGTGACTTTGGATTTCTGGTCTCCAGAACTGTGAGACAGCAGTGTCTATTGCTTTAAACCACCCAGTGTGTGATGCTGTTATATGGATCTCTAGGATGTTAACACAGCTATAATTTTTAAAATGGAAAACAGCAAGTGTTGGCCAGTGCAATGGCTAATTTTATGTGTAGACCTGGGTAGACTAGGTTGCCTGGATATCTGTTCAAAAGTTACTCTGGATATTTTTGTGGAGATGATTTTTGGATAAGGTTACAATCAGTGGACTTGGAATAAAGTAGGTTCTCCCCCATAATCATAATCTCATCTAATCAGCAAAAGGCCTTAATAGGCCTGTCATCTGTGGTAGCATGATGAGCCTGACATCCTCTATAAACAAAAAGGAATTCTGCCAGCAGAATGCCCTTTACTCAAGCTTCCATTCTTCCCTGGGTCTTCAGCTGCTGGACTACCTGAGCAGATTTTAGATTTACCAAGCCTCCACCATATGAACCAATTCCCTTTAAAAAAAAAAATCTTTCAATCTCTCTCTATATACTAAAAGTATAATCTCATAAGAAAATACAGATGTAAATCTTCACGGCCTTAGAGACACTAGAATTCTCCTGCTGTATATTGCTGGTGGAAATGGAAAGTGGGGCAGCCACTGTGGAACACAATTTACCGGCTCCTCAATCATTCCAACACAGAACTGCCATGTGGTCTAGCAATTTCACTCGTAGGTACACACCACGAAGAACTGAAATCAGGTGTTCAAAACTCAAGTAAAAATATTCACAGCAGCACTACTGACAATAACCAAGAAGCAGAACCAACCCAAAGGTCCATCAACTGATGAATAAAATGTGACATTTCCATGTAATAGGGTATTATCCAACCATTAAAAGGAATGAAATTTGGATACATACTACAACATAGATAAACCAAACTTTGAAACATTATTCTCAGTGAAAGAAGCCAGACACAAAAGTCGTGTACTGTATCATTCCACTTATATTAAATGTCCAGATCAGGCCATTTCATAGACAGAAAGCAGATTTGTGGTTGCCAGGTGCTGGGAGTAGAGGATAATGACAGCGAGGGCTTAATATGTATGGGGTTTCCTAGAGGGGGATGAAAGTGTTTTGGAACTAGATAGTGGTGACAGCTGCACAACATCATGAGTATACTCAACGCCACTAAATTGTACACTTAAAATGGTTTAAGTCATAAATTTATGTTGTGTGCATTTTAAAATTTTTAAAAGGTATTCACATATACACAGAGGGATAATTTATGAACTCATTTACAAGTAAATACCAAGAAAATGAACTTTTTACATAGAAATAGTGGAATGATGAACCAATAATTAACAAGTCCTAAAATAAATCACATTATGTGTAACTGTTGCAATAATCAAGGAAGTTGGTGGGTCTCTAACCATGAAGCAACTGTGTGTTCTGGTGTCCCTTGAAACCATTTATAGCGCTAGTGCATCCCCTCACTCTAGAACTCAGGCTTCCACTGCTGCTCTGGGTAATCCTATTTAATTAAAACAGAAATGCCCACTGTCACTGTTAAGGTGCAAGTCCTAACTTGGAAATTTAAATGCACAATTGGTCCCATAATGAAAATGGCTCCCATGTGAAGGTGAGGCCTCTCTGGGCCACTGCGGGTAGAAGCCCAGTAGCAGTGAGAGAAGGGTTCTGATCCTTCCAGGGACAGCAGACTGTGAAGGAAGGGAGGGGCAAGAGATAGTCCTCACCTGAGGGGTTGTGGTGAGTAGGTTCTGCTTGGTCTTGGCTCAATAACTCCCTCTCCTCCTTATCATCCCAACCTCAGCCCCATCACCAGAGGTCTCTCAGGGACCTCACCCTTCCTGGCTCCCTGCTCTCTGCACCTTCGTCTCAGTACTCCTTGAGGGGCCCCCGGCCTCCTGCTCAGATTGTGAGAGCAGACCAGTGCTTTTGTGCATTGTTCCCACAGGGTAGACTTGAATAGAGGCCATACCCACCTCTGCCATCTCCCCTGCTACCTCTCCCAAGCACTTGGCCAGCCACTGGCACCTCATCCTTAGATTTCTTTCCCCGCTAAGGCCGGAGACCTAGTGCACTGGATAGCTGCAGGGCACACTGTGAGTATGGAGGTTCTTTTCTCCAGCCTTGAGAGAAGGGGCCGGTCGTATTCAGTGCTCTCCACTGGGAGACTCCAAACACACCTGGCTCTATTCAAAGAGCCCTATTCTCATCCCAAATCCTCTTCCTTTGACTCTGCCCTGGGTGTGGAGTGGAGGGTACAGACTTACAGGTTTTTGACTACCTCCACTGGAAATGCTGCTTGTGGTATGGGTACATGGGATCTGTCTGCCTTTTAGCAATCATTGATTGGACCTCTTGTTACATATAAATACCCCACACTCATTATTCAACAGAGTAACAGCCCCACAGAGCCCTTAATTTTTCCAGACATTGTACTAAACCCTTTTCACAAACATCACATTTAAAGTAACTAGCAGGCATGTTTGCAACTGCTTTATTTCACAACTAAGAATTTACACAAATAACTTGCATTTAAGCATCTATGGCAGACATTACTCAGATACTGAGTTTCCTGGTAAGACACTCAAGAATAATATTCTGGAAGCTGAGCAACTGAAAAGACCTGAAAAGAGCTTCAGAGGTTACCTAGCTAACACTACTCATTTCCTTTAAGAAACAGCTGAAGATCTGAGCAGCTGTGTGACTTGACCAAGGTCATCACAATGACAGATCAGAAGGCAGTTATTACTTACTGCAGCTGCCTTATTCATTAAAAAATCAGATCAACTGACTTATACTGCTAATTTTAGTATTTGTCAAACCCATGGTAGAAATGAATTTTTAATACAAAATAACTTTCAGCCTAAAAAATTGAACAAACCAGGCTTTGCATACTACATAAAGCTGTATGAGTCCCAACCTACTGTGCAGGAGAATAATGGATTCTTAATTGAATCTGTGCCTCAGAGTGGAAGAATGATTTTTAAATGGGAAACCCCACAGAGGCAGTGCTGAGAAATGAGCTTAGCCAGATGAATTATTCTAGAAAAAAGTTAAACGAGCAAAACCAGGTTGGAAAATGGCTTTTTCTTAAAGCTCTCAAATCAAATGCAAATTGTTTGCACCCAGTAAACTACTGTGCTCACCACTAGTTTCCTAGTCAAGGCACCGTCTCTTGATCTGGATCCTTAAAGACCACAGTCTCCAAGGGGTCCAGCAGAGAGGGGACTGTATTCATTCATCTAGCAATTACTGGGAACCCAGAATATGTCATCCAGACTTCTCAGAAACTTCATATGCAATACAATAATCACAAGTTTTGGGGCCTGGCAGGGAACCTAGAAATAATTCAGTCCAGCACATTTCACAGGTAAGGAAACTGAGGCCCAGGGAGGAAAGTACCCAGCCCAGGAAGGTCACACAGTTAATGGCTTTAATCACGAAAGTTAAGCGTTCTGACAGATTCATGAACTCTTGGGTAGCTTCATCTTCAGCTCTGAGGACCTCAGAGTCATTCTGTGGCCTGAAGTGCTAATTAAATCAGAAGAATTATGGACTTACTATTTATAGGTAGGAGTGAAGAAATTAACTAGGCCATGAAACTGGGGGACACAGAAGGAGATCGTGTCTCCTGAGATCTACATATTACATTCAACCTTCACATTTTAAGACAGAACATGGGTAATGCACTTTCCAAAGCTGGGACTTTTGAGTGGCAGTTGGTCTTGACAGACCACTGCTACGAAAGATTTTCTGCACTGTGAGGTAAGTGCTCACCCCACTTCTGGCAAATGTTGCTATCACCCAGTGGGAAGGTTAAAGCGATCCTTTCAAGCCTATCAGTCACTTCAAAAGGACTTATTTCAAACCATTTTTCAATTATTTTGAAAGTTTTAACCAATATGTTTTCACTGAATATAAAAGGGAAAGGGAGGAAGGAAACCCATGAGAATGCGGTTAAAAGATACACCATTTGGGTTTGCAATTATCTTGCATTTTTCTTCTTTTTTACTGTTCAGAGTAGCTTTCACTTTACTGCCAAAATCAAATAGCTCTCAGGAGGCCCAGGGGTGTGAACAAAAGCACTGAAATCAAAGAACTTCCACATTTTAATCTGCCAGAGTCTGGCTGTGTGGCATGGGGAAGAGTCACCGAATCTCTCCCCATCAGTTGCCACTTCTGTACAATGAGGATAAAGTGATGGAGGCACACCTCTCTTGGGGACTGTGTGGATTGGCTAATTAAAGCTAATTAAGCCCCTGGAAAGAACCAGAAAATACTATGTAAGTGCAGAGTATTTATGTGCCACTAACAGTCAGAGAAACTCCTAAGGGACCAGACCCTGTGCAGAGAGCACATTCTGCACTGGTGATTACTAATCATCCACTGCCTACAAAGAAAGCACCATATTTTCTGGAACAGGGCAGGGAAAAGAAACATCACACAATGTTGTTCAACAACACCATCTTTATTCAAAAATAGATATCTATGAGACATTTCAGAATATACTGCTGCCACCAATGGCAGCCTATACTTCTAAATAAAGTCCTAAATTAATATACAAATTTAAGCTTTAAAAATATTCTTTAAGAAAAACAAAACAAAAACAAAGGAAGATTGAAGACTTTCTGAGGAATATGACCTAAAGGAGAGGTCCTTTAAGGCCTACAGATGCCCTAAGGTGAAACAACACAAAACCAAAAGCCACCCATCCCACTCTGCCAGATCGGCTCTCACAGACAAGGAGAAAGGATCATTTAAATTAAACAAGGGAAGTAAAGCACACTTTAAAGGGAGGTCAAGGGAAGGAGAAATAAGATTTAAACAACAAAAGCATTTCATTAAAACAAAACAAAACTAACTTCCTCACTGGAAGTCCACTAGTAACAGGTGTTAAGAACCCAACACATTCATTTACATAATTGCTACAGGTTCATTTCTTGCTCTTGCTGTAATGATTACGCACCAGTTGCTGGTCAAAGACATAAAACATAGTAGTGTGCTAAATCCATTCTGTTGTAATAGTTTCACCTAGCTGAACAGAGCAAATATCAGTCTTCTGGCTGGTTTATGGCTGGTAAAATTCTGCCTCCTTGGTGAAAGCACTGTCCCAGGCGGGTCTGTTCGGGAATAGGCCCATATATGGGAGATTAAAGCAGCACATCATATGGGGAAGGGGCTGTGTACAAACAGCAAAGACTAAAAGTTATCTTGCAATTTCAGTGAAGTCACTGATTGCCTCTGGGAGGAAAACTTTATAGGCTCATTAATTTAACAGTGACAGAACAGGCAGTGTCTATAAGCAAACAGCACACAGAAGCAAATCTGAAAAGCAGCTTCAACACTACTGGGTTCTACAGAGTTAAACCAAGTACCTGTTACAACTCTCCCTTGTTCTCACGTCACAGCAGGCAAGAGAGCTTCGGGAAGGGAAGCCTGTCATACTTCATAAAACACAGGTTATGCTTTAACATGTAAAAGAACATGTGACTTTTGGTGATCTTGAAAGTAGCAACTCAAAACAATGAATTTTCAAGCCCCTTCCACTGAATTCCTTTTCATAGCTTCTGAATTTCAGCCTTGGGGCTATCATTCCTATCACACTATTGGGGAAAATTGTTTTCTGCCCTTTCCAATGTCAAAAATTCACCTGCCAAATCAGAATGATTTACAGTTAGCAGTCTTACCCTTTATTATACGCAAGATAAAAATTCTCTCTAACTACATTATTTAGTTATCATGTCAGATGGCATGATAATGGAATTAAAACCCCAAACTAATACCTCCCACTTTCCTCATCCCCTGCCAGCTGTTTCAGTAACACCTGATACAAATACCCTTCCTCTTCCTCATGCGGGAATACAGTACATTCAGTGGTGTGAACTGACAGATGGACGCGTTTGGTGTCCTGTCTGCAGGAGATAGCCAAGCTCAGTCACCACACTGTGGACATATGTATGCCCACATGGTGGACTGATGACAGTGTGCCTGCTCTAACGCTCAGCCACAGCCATGCAGAACCAGACTCAGCACACCTGTGTGGAGCCTTCACCGTTTGGGGACACCATGCTGTCCTTAACAACCACCAGTTTTTAGAAACTTACTCTATGACAACTGGGGGGGCCCTTGAGAAATGCAGCCTGAGGAAGGCTATTACAGGAACCAAGCAAGTTACTTGCTTGTGACCACTATTATTCTTGTCTCTGACCTGTTACTCTATGTCCCATGTCAGCTATGAATCGCACTGCTCGATTCTTTAGTTGTTCATAATAAACACACTCAGCCTTGACTATACGTTGCTAGTAGAAGTAATGATAGGAAAGGGCCAACAATTTGGCAAACTTTTTATGGCAAAGCTGCCCAACAGCTATGCCACCAACCTTTTGGGGCAGGTGGCAGACTTGAAAGCCAATGTCTGCACAGCAAGGCCCTTAGTGGGAGCCTAACTCAGACAAGTCCAGCTCAGAAAGGAGGTGCTGTTTCCATGATACATGCTGTCACAGGGACAAGATTCTTCTGAAAGCTTCCAGAAGTACCCATTATTTTCATAACTTCTTGGGTATAACAGAGAGCTAAGAATGGAAAACCAACAGGGGCATGAACACATGAAGTGGGAGAAAGAGTCTGTATTTTTGCAAGTATGAATCTAAACTGGGTTCCATAGCCACTGCTCTGAACTGTGCTCGAGATGAAGGGCTGGAGAGAACTGCGTATCAGAGTCTGTGCAGCTCTTTCTGGTGGTGGGGGGCCAGGCAGAAGAGAGAGAAAACCAGGGGCCAGAGGGTTATCTGCAACCATGACTTGCCTTCTTCTTTCTGGCACAGATTGGAATCTGGAGCATAACAACTGTCCTAATCAGTTGAAAAGAGGTCACCGGCAGAAGGCAGAGGGGCCAAGCCCCCTGTGACATTGGGCAGCAATGAGAGGTCTGGTAAGCTCTGAATATGGGACTTCAGTTCCTTGCGGACCTGGGTTACCCGCGCAAGCTTCTGTTTATATTCCTAGGGAGACAAGGAAAAGAGAACACAGTTAGTCCCTGTGGGTGCTGATGGCCCAGTCCACCACTCTGCTCTCACCTTCCTGCTCTTCCTTCTCCCCACTGGACCGCCCCTCCCTACCGTGATACACACCCATGCTAGAGTTTCATTCTCAAGGGGACAAACTTCACCAAGGACAGCAGAACACAATCTTGGCAACAGTGGATTAAACAGTATTCAACTTGACACTTGAGATTTGGAAGTAAAAAGCAGTGACCTTTAGTATATGAGCTCTCTTTTAATTGGCTGTCAACTGTTTCAAAGTGTTTTATAAAATAAAATATAGAGGTTCAAGTTTCAGTTATTTTAAAGGATCCTCTCAGACATGGCTAGAAAAACCACTATTAGGCTACACTTACTAAGTTCAAGCTTAGAGATTAAGTCAGATTTATCATTTTCACAATCAAGCAGTATGATACAAGTTCAGAATAACCTACTGCCACCACCTGTAGCCAGGATCTCATTACACAGCTGAGTAGTTGCAGGAAGTCACTGATGAAGCCTTCTAAAAGTCTCCTCATCCCTATTTCCTCAAGCATGGGGCCAGGTTTACCTTCCACAACACTGGCTTCACCCAGCTACTCCTCTGAGAAGGTGAGGTGCACATTTCACTATCCCCAGGCCTGTTCAAGCTCAAGACCTGCTCAATCAGTTGCTGCCCAAAAATGTTTCTCCCAATTTCCTAACTTCCTTTGTACAAGCCACTGACTGTGCGGGCCATTTGCTCAGGATTCCTCTCCAACCTGGGAGAGACCCTTCTTCTCTCAGTCCTGGCAAAGCCCTGCCTCTATCCCTCTGCCTGGGGAAGATTCTTCTTCACCCAGGCTGCTCTGTTCTCTCTAGACATGGTAGATTTCCATGTTCTCCTAGAGTAGGACTCTCATGATGGCAGGAATGCAGTAATTATTATTATCTTTCCCTAGCTCCCAGCAAAAGTTACTCTTGATAAACCCGTATAGAAAATAACTGCGTCATGTAAGGTCCATAGCTTCTGGACTCTTTGGGGCTTATATTTCCCTGTACGCTTCTGCAAGGATAAGGAGGTCCCTGAGTGGGCCCTTGCCTGAAGCTTTTCCTGCAGGAATGGAACCAAAAGCACTGGCTGAAGTTCAGAGCCTAAGAGCATTTGTGCTGGCTCTACCTCCATCATGTTGTGTGCCCAGGGAAACATTCCCTCCTTTCCTAGCTGAAAGTGACTGAATGGACCACACCATAAGACTTTTATTCAGTGTCTAAATTTCTTGATGCTCAACACGTTAAGTAGACTAGAGGAGTAAGAAGGTTAGAGGAGTTATGCAAATTACTAATAACAACTCCTCTATCAAACTAGAAAACCACAGAAGGATAAAGCCAGAGCCTCCTGCTTCACCCAGCAAAGGCCCTGCAGTGTCCCGTAAAGAGTAGGCATCCAGCGTATCTGTCAGGGAATTAACAATATATAAAGCAAACATCAGGTACCTGCTCACATTTCTGAAACCTAGACTTTAGGCAATGGTAACCTTTCATTCTTGAAACTAGTAGCTAAGTTCAAACATGAGGTTCTACAATGCCTAGTTTCTTAGTCACTTTTTTCACTGCTGAGACAAAATACCTGATATCCAAAGTTAAAGGAAGAAAGGTTTATTTGGCTTACAGTTCATAGACATTTTAGTTCATGGGTGGCTAGCTCCAAGGCAATGTGGCACAGCAGAGGGGCATCACAGAAGAGAAACAGTTCATTGCACACAGAAGACACCAAAAGCAAGCAAGGGAACTTAGCAGCTTTTTTCTGCCCCTTTTATATTCTATCTAGACTACTGGGATTAGGGTGGTGCCAAATCAATGGACGCATTTAGTAATCACCACCCTTAACCTTAGCATTGTACCACGAATCAATCACATACTCTAGATTCAGCCACCTCTGAAAAAAAACCCCACCTCTGACTGCATGAGGCTTTAGGGGGACATCTAGACATGAGCCGTAACACCTAAGCCTCCTATTTCTTCCCACATAAACATTCAAGTGAAGTTAACGTAAAGCATGAAGGCCAGTGATCTCTTTCTGAACGCTGATTCATTTAAAAGACTTTTGTTGAACACTAGGTATGAAAAGGTAAAGCAGTTAACCCTTGCCCTGTACTGAATTCTTTGTCCAAAGCTGACAAATGAAAGCCACTTCAACTCTGAGCCATCCACTCATAGCAATTATACAGGCTTAATTGAAGGAGTTCATCAAGAACCATTTGAAAACTGCTCAGTCTCTTGTGAGTTGAGCTAGGATGAGAATCCAAGATACTTGACTCTTGAGGGATCATCAAACTAACTTACCAAGTTCATCCAGGTTAAAAGGGAAAGTGTGTCTAACTGGATCAGACACCTTAAATTCAAATAATTCACCCTGACAACTGAAGAAAAATCCCACTTTCTCCTATTTGGGATGGGGTATGATGTTTAAGCTGATACTGCATTCCACACATCATAAAAAAAAATTTCCTCCAAGTAAAAAGAAATATAGTCTACAAGAAAGCCCTTTCCAAGCCATCCTGAAATCAGGTGGAAGCTGCCCATACCTCTTCCCGCCACTGGGATACTTTTTTTCCACAGAAGTCTACTTTAAGAACAGGCATATGTGCCTAGGAAGAAGGCATCAGTACAGAAAGGTAAGAAGGAACCCATCCCTGAAAGCCATAAAAAACCACAATAGTAAAAATAAAAAAGTCCCACAAGCCAAAAAGTTTAAATACATCCGCAAAGGTGACCAGGTAAATACCCCAAACAGCTAAATCTAGGGAACAATTTCCTTTAAAACATACCTGCCTAGTGGGGACAATCTAATGACACAGCTTAACAACTTGAGAAGCGATCAGCAGGTTAAACTGTGGCTACAGTAGTATTTATAGGCCCCAAGCGGACTCAGCAGCGACTACTCTGTCTCCCACCTCTTCCCTTTTTAAAAAATACATTCAGGCTTTCAAGATAAAGTCAGCTATAAATGCTGCCGTGAGCCAACAACAACAAAAAATAAAGACTAAATCCAAATAAAATTACTGCCCAGTACAACTTCAGCCTTTGTTTCTGTTAATTCTGATTTTTATCTTTTCCCTTCCCTTCCCTTCCCTTCCCTTCTTCCTTGTGTTGCTGGAACCCAGGACTTTGCATATGCCAGGGAAGTGCTCAACCACTAAACTACACACCCAGCTCTTCATTTTCTCCCTTCTTACACTACCCCTTTGGGTTAGGGTGTGCTCTTACCAGATGCCTTTCAAAGGTTTTCTTTTTGGTTCTGGACAGGTAAAGTAGATATAGTTCAGGAAAATTCAAGAGTCTTGTCTTAATATACCGACCTGCCTCCTGGTGAAGTGTGAAGAAAGTGTGTTACAAGGCTCCATTCAGTGCCCTCAGCAATTCCTAGTCTCAGAAGAAATTCAGGTCTCTTTCTGTACTACCGCTAAAACCAGATTCATGTTATGAGGCCACCTGGAGTCTTCTGGTTCACACCAAGTGCCACTCAGAGAAATGATGGCAAGGTGGTCATACAATCCTAATTTAGAGTATTTTACACTTGTACGTGACAGATGACTAGGCCTTTAATCTAGCACGCTTCCCTGCATGGTCAGGAATCTGCCAGCTCAGGACCACACTACAGACCAACAGGATGACCTGGCTACAGCACTGCTGCCTGTCTACTTCTCTCCCACCAGCCACCTCCTCTCTGCCATGGATTTCAGGTAGTCATGTCTTCAGATACCTACCTTTCTGCAAGAGAAGACACACCGAACTCAAGAGCCCTACTACCTCTTTCCCTTTTCATGTCTAATTCATACTGAGAGGCTAAGGCTGAGTGCACCTCAGCTACAGCATCTACTGGATCCAACCTTGCTCATGGCAGAGGTGCATAGGGAGTGGTGACACAGGAGTCACATCAGACCTGCTGCTGCTACCATTTCAGGATCCGCAAGGCAGGGGCACTGGTAATAAGCTGCCTGGGCTTGTGTAACTGCCAAGAAATGTTTAAAAATGTTTAAAATGTAAAAGCTAAGGTCCATTCTGTAGTTTTGAGATAATGATTTATGCTCTGGCAAAGCTCTGGAATCTTGCCTCACAGACTTTGCAAATTTGCAGAAGAAAATGTATCTCTAACATCCTTTGCTTTCTGTGGATCCAGCTCACACTGTGAATTCAGACCATCATGGAGCACCAAGGCAATTTGCTGAAGGGAGTAGAGCTTACAAATTCTTTGCCTTTTATGGTCAGAGCTGTAAGCCAGGCCCGACATGCTGCAGATGAGCTCTGGGATAAGAGGGTTAGAAATGACAGGGGCTAGCGATGTGATGACCTTTCTACAGGAATTTCATTTTCAGAACAAAATTGTAAGTGTTTCCTCTAACAACTCATGTAAGAAATGCTGATGAAAATGTAAACTTATTTACACTTGGTTGTCAAACATATTCTCCTCCCTGGTAAGAAATATTTACATAAGAAAAAAACATGTTAGTATTAACTCCACAGGCAGGGACTTGACTTGCTGAGACCCGCTCTCCAGTATCAAGATTCATGTTTTCTTTATAGCACCCTATTGTGCTATTGGACATATGGTACGTAAAAAAACAAAACAAAACAAAACAAAACCCACACACTGCTTGACTACCCCCAATCAATAGTCACAAAGGGTAGTTATACACAAAAATAGTTAATTAAGGGCCCTGTTTCAAAGGTGACCTGCCATGGTATGGTCAATTTTTTAACTCACAGAACTGTTTTACTGCATGCAGAGAGAACCAAGCCAAAGAAGCTGACCCTTGAACAAATATGATTTAATTCACCCACCCAGCCCTTTTTATCCTACCAGGAAGTTTACCCCTCATCATTTAGGCCTATGGAACCTACACTTAGAAATCTCAGCCTTTACTGAAACCCCAAGCCAGTTGCGGTGGTGTGCACGCCTGTAATCCCAGCACTCAAGAGGCTGAGGCAGGAGGATCACT